ATCGTTGCTTGGGCTGGTACAGAATTTATCACTAGCTGAAATACAAGGGGGAAATAAAGTATGGAATTAGTAACCAGTAATACGGCAAGTAACATTGACACATCTATTGTGAATAACTATTTAAACATTAAAATAATAAAAATTATATATTTCAACGCCCACCCTAGTTGCGATGATAGTCAATATAACCCTGAACAAAAAAAAACAAACAAAACGGACGGTATTGAATCCCGACTAGTCTCAATCAGATGTCAAAATTGAATTAAAATAAAATGAGTGTTTCAGTCGCAGAAGAAATTATTAACTTGACTATTTAGTCGGTAATTAACTAAAACATAATTTTTCATTTTGGTAATGAAAATCCTAAGAGCGGTCGTAGCAAAAATTAACTATTAAACTGTCGTATCGGGAATTAAACAAAATGTAGGTACTTTACTATTTCGATAAGGAAAAATTATCAAAACGGTCGCAGAGAGTGCGAGGAGACAGGATCGCGAAAGAACTACTTATAGTAAATATACGGAAAGGAAAAAAATAAATTTGTACCCGGAGTAGCCTATTATCCCAGAATGAGTTGATCGTCATCACGAGCCCGCTCAGACAGGGTAATGAAGCTATTTAAGATTTCTTTAATTTGCAATTTGCACGAAAAAAATGAAGAATACAAAGGGGAAAAGAATAGTAACGCGGATAGCACCTAATCCAAGAATGAACTGATCGTCATCACGAGCCCGTTCAGACATGGGCAGGATACTATTTATTAAAGTTATTTAAATTGACGGTCAAAGATAAAACAAAACTATTATCGGAGGGAAGAAAACTACTAACGCGGGTAGTACCTACTCCACGAATGAGCTGATCGTTTACACATTAACTAAAAAAAATAACGCGGATAGCACCTACTCCAAGAATGAACTGATCGTCATCACGAGCCCGTTCAGATAGGGACAGGATGCTATTTAAGATTATTTAAATTTGCGGTAAAAGAATAAACAAAACGTCTCCTCAAAAACTCCGTTTCTAGATATTCCCAACTTAGTTACAATGCGGCACTTACTAAACAAAAATATTTATCAATGAAATCAAATTTAATTCCCGATTTAACCTACCAAAAAGAAAAATTTAATTTCTTAGTACAGACTATCAAAAGTTTAAATTAACGGTATTGCAATATTAAAGAACTAAACCCTATCATTTATTATTTAAATCATATTCAATTCCCTTTAAAGAAACGGTATTCTATCTTCAAAGAGCCAACTACTAATGTTTATTAATTAAATCAAACTAAATCTGTCTCTCAACAATATTTATAAAAACGGAATTACATTTGCCAAGAAATAAATTCTAATATTTATTAATGAAATCAAATTAAATCTTTCTCCCAACAATATTTATAAAAACGGTATTATATTTTCCAATAAATAAATTCTAATATTTATTAATGAAATCAAATTAGATCTTTATCCCAACAATATTTATAAAAACGGTATTATATTTGCCAAGAAATAAATTCTAATATTTATTAATGAAATCAAATTATATCTTTGAACTCAACACGGAACTAAACTGTTCTTATTTCTAAAAGATAATTCGGTTTTTAAATTAAATACGGTCTCAATATAAAACGTTTCTTCTATAAAAATATGAACGTAAAAACGAAACACGGTTTTTTACCTAACGGATTTATAAACACGAAAAATGTATCGACGGCGGACTTAGTTGAGAATTCGACTATTACTTTGAACTGGCTGAAATCAAGTGTTATTCGGAACTGAAATGTCTGAAATTTTTAATTCAATCTCGAGCCTGGTTCAACCGTCGATCCCTTTCCATAGCAGAGACCCCACCAACGGCAGTACTACCGCGCATCGATCGGCAGTGCGCACCTGTTACGACGCATGAGACAAGCAGCTCGAGCGCGCTTATTTGTATTAAAAATGATAAATTAATATAAACCGATTGAGGGAAAATTGACTTCATTACAATAGAGAGCAGGCAGATATGCCATTTTTGAAATAATAATTATTTTTTTCTTCTAGTAGATTCAATTATACTCTTCATGGCTTACTTTCGGTTTTATTTTTTGAATGGAAACCCATTTTTGGTTAATATTATTTTGTGATGTAAAAATCTAAATGTTTAATTCATAATTATAGTTTCTGTTGAATTACGTAGGTCACTTTCTGCCATTTTTAAAAATGATCAACATTTTATTTTAAATTTTTGGACGATACTAAATAAAAATTACTCTGAAATTCGAAAAATCAGCATTTTGTAACGACTTGTTCCAAGGTTTCAAACACAAAAGTTCTTTAAGATATCTCAGTAATTAATATAATAACCTAATAAGAGCGAGAGGAGTTTTTAAGAAGTTTGCCATTAATAGAAAGCATACATACGTTACTGGTGTAGTTTGGGACAATTTTAATAATTGTGATGCTTAAGAATACTTTAAATATGATACATTCCCGATACATTCCCTGATACATTAAACAAGTTAATAGTAACATAAACAAAAATAATAATATTAATACATTTATTGTCCAACTTTAAGGTTTACAAAAAAAGAGAGCAAATATATACATTTGTAAAATATTTACAATATTTTGTACCCCTAAGAGAACAAATGGCTACACTCGGTACAGTTGTGAATCGCCTCACTCCTGATCTTCCACCAGTGCCAGAGTGATGACTTACTCTTTCTGAAATGTTTGAAAACAGGTAGAATACTAATTGTTCGCAATTCACTAAAATCTTTAGGTACTTTTGGTAACGGCATAACTTTAACAAATTTCCAAGCAGAAGGAAAAAAATGTTTTGCTAAACATTCATTAATTATATATGTTATAAATGGAACGATAAATGAATAGCAGAGTTGTAAAATTGTACTATTAATATCATCCATACCGTAAGCCTTAGATTTAATACCAAAAATAATATTATTGATAGCATCCTCGGTAACTTCCTGAAATTGAAAGTGTTCTTTGATATTCTCCTTAGTATTAGTTGAATAAAATTTTTTTTAACTCATCATCCATACCCACATTATTACATCTAGAAGTAAAAACTATTTATGGAATTGGCGTCTTTCAAATTATTGGGAATATCTGTTCTTTTTTTTAGTTTTAGATATGTTGTTTTTTTAGTTCAAACCATTTTTCTTTTGTATTACAATTTTGTAATTTAAAATTTAATTGTGTTTTTTCAGCCATTTTTTAATGGTTTATAATATGACCAATGTTGTGGTTATCTCGAGTCTTGCAAAATTTTTTCAAAACTTTATCTCCGAGTTTTGGCATAAGGATAATATTCTCAGTAATCCTCGGAGTATATTTAATTCGTTTTCTGATCATTGTTTTCTTAGGAGCATGAATTTCTAAAAGAAGCATTATAGAAGTGTTTAATAAATTTGCCATTTCGTCAATATTTTTTTAGCTGATCTTATTTTGATTTTTAAATTGCAATATGTGTCTTGAGATAATAAATCATTTGAAAATGTTTAAGATTCTGATTTTAAAATAAGAACATTTTAAAATATAGCTTTACGTTTACCATTGCCAAACAGCAATTAGTAAGGTATGGTAGGATTGACAATATATTAATATTTTATACTGTTTTTGGTTGCACAAAATAGTTATTTGACATCGGTTTTATCATATAAAAAAACATTTGCAAGTCTTGCTTTATAAATAACTATTTTTTTGAGACCATAGTTCAACATCCCCTACATCATTTTCTGATAAGAAAAGAACGCGGCAAACGCGACGTTCCAAAAGTTATGCATTTTCCTGGCTGGGGAAAGATACATTGTTACACAAGATAAAGACCCACAACAAATCAGATATACCTGCTACTCACTGCATGGCGCTATCTAAGCAAAAAAGTAGCTGGTTGCCACCGAAACCATATTTACAGCTAACCTAGGCGAAACAGTCTGGCTCAACAGTCAGATATAGTTTATTTGAAAATATTACTGAAAGATTACAATACTGAAATTAAAAATTATATTATAAATGCCATAACACAATAATAATAATAATAATAATAATAATAATAATAATAATAATACATCAGCAATACAAGACATAATTCTTTCACAGGTTTTCCTTGAGATTTTCCTCTCCTATTATTTGTTTTTATTTACTGTAGGAAATGTATCAAATAATATACCTGCATTTTCTTCTGTATGGAAAAAAGTAATATAATGAGACTTCTTTCCTATACCAGAAAAACCTTCCGATATCAAGAGTGAACAATTGTCTATTTTCTGAAATGTGGTCGCTTATTTATTAGAAATAAAAATCTCAAAATCCCTATTATCGTAATTTATTTTAAATAATTAAACATTAAATAGTTTCGCCCTATGTGGCCGTCATCAGTCCTGTAATACAAACAACTTGTTTGGAAACTGGTGTAACAAAAATCAAAGTGTTCATCACATCATGAAATCCATCACAAATTACCAATTAATTATAGGAGAAATACAAGAAAATATCAGAAGAATGATAGTTTCCCTCAAGAAAACAACTATTTCGCTAATATTACAACAGGCATTGAATGAAAAACAGCTGAGAGAATATTATATTGTTTAACGAAGTTTAATACTATACTTTTTCTATAGCTTTCTACACACTATGAATTTCTATGAATTTCTATAAATTTCTATGAAGTTCTATGAATTTCTATGAATTTCTATGAATTTCTATGAATTTCTATGAATTTCTATGAATTTCTATGAATTTCTATGAATTTCTATGAATTTCTATGAATTTCTATGAATTTCTATGAATTTCTATGAATTTCTATGAATTTCTATGAATTTCTATGAATTTCTATGAATTTCTATGAATTTCTATGAATTTCTATGAATTTCTATGAGTTTCTATGAATTTCTATGAATTTCTATGAATTTCTATGAATTTCTAAGAATTTCTATGAATTTCTATGAATTTCTATAAATTTGAAAATTTGTTGAAAAACATATTTTTTTTTTGTTACAGCCACAAAAGTCTCACATGGTTATGCAGACTCCGTACACTCAGTACATTCGTCGAATTTGGCATTACATCACCCACCATCAACTCCTAGGGCTATTAGCGCTGAAGATATTACGAGGTGAGTCTTTTTTCATTAATCTGTCTTACCATTAGTCATTATTATGTTATTTGGATTTAATATGTCAACGTTTCTAAACTAAATTAAAAAAAGTCAGTACTAATAAAGAAGAAGAATGGATTCATTTTTAAAAAAGCAGATTTTCGAAATCTTTATAAAATATTAGAAACAGATTAGTCTTTTCTAAATAGCGGCTATATAATGTTGATGAAGTCTTAAACGCATTCTACGATAAGTTATATATTTGCCAACATGTTCCAAAAAAGACTAACTAACCAACATTATCCTAAGTGGTTTAATTCTGAAATCATAAATAGTATTAAACTAAAAAGTAAAGCTTGCAAAATATTTAAGATTACTAAATATAATTCAAATTATATTATTTACAGTCAACTGAGAACTGAAATTAAAATTAAATCTAAGTTAGCTTACTGTAATTATGTGAAATGTTCTGAAGAAAATATTAAGGCTGATCTTAAAACTGTTTGGTCATTTACAAATTTTAGAAAGGGTGATCTGTCATCGATACCCAACACTATGAATTTCGAAAACAAGCGTTTAAATCAACCTAAAGATGTAGTGGATTCGTTTGCAATATTTCAGGAAATTATGTGAAATAGGGAGTGGTAAGCCATCAAAACAGTGTCAACGTTTATACTTTTTTTTAAATTTCTAAGTAAGAATATTTGAGAACTTAGTTTTTTGCTAACTTTTCAATGTAGGTGTCCCACTTTAGACCGCTGTCGAGTGTTATTCCCAGAAGAGTGGCACAATTTGCCCTACCATGTTTCAGGTTAGTACTAAATATTTTTGGCTTTTTCCTTATTAAGATTTAATTTGCTTGTAGTAAACCATTCCCCAGCCTTAACGACTGCCATTTTACTGAAATTTTCAAGAGTGTCGATATCTCTGTGAGAATTCAAAAGTGTAGTATCGTCTGCAAAGAGGAAGCAGGCATTAGATTGAAGACATTGAAATATGTATTCACATAAGTGATAAAAAGTAGTGGACCTAACACAGATCCTTGCGGAACTCCGTGCTGAACAGTAAGGGAATTTGATAACTGGCCATTTAAATAGACAGTTTGTTTCCTGTTTGAAAGATACGACTTAAAAAGATTGAGTGGTGTTCCTCTTATTCCATAAAAATTAAGTTTGGATGTTAACAGATCGTGGGAAACACAGTCAAATGCTTTCGAGAGATCGCAAATAAATTGAAACCCCCAATATCAATTTACTTGAATGAAAATTCTATAAACAAATATTTAAAAATAAAATTTAACCAGCATTTAACCCCCCTCAAAACTATCTACTATCCCTTCCACGATGCTTCTTATAGCATTAACAGTACTACATCCCTTTCTAAAGCCATATTGTCATTTGTGGATAGGATTCATTTTGTTAAGAAACATGTTTAGGCGTTTTTTAAAAATAATTTAAAAAATCTTTTCAAATATTGGAATTATCGAGATAGGACTGTAATTTCCTGGTTGATTTACATTCTTTTTGTAAATTGGTATTACTTTACTTGCTTTGAAACTGTCCGAAAACTGAGTATCACAAATCGATTTATTAAATAAACATGTCAACTGCTGACAAAAGCAGCTATACGTTTCTTTGATAATTTGGGAATTTAAACCGTAGATATCATAACATCAATGTTTTGATGGCTTCTTCAACTTCAAAAGATACAATTGGCTCAATAAAGAAGAAATCACAGGGTTGAAGACTTTTGTCCAAATAGTCTGTGACCTGATGTTCGGTGTCTGGCAAGGAACATATAATTAATTCTGCAATACTGGAAAAATAATTATTGAACACTTCTGGGAATGTAACGTGAGGAACTTTTATTATTGGTGGCATTTCGTTCAAAATTAATTAATTTCCAACTATCTTTCGACTTATTTGATGAATTTTTTTAAAAAAGTATCGTAGGGTGATCTTCTGGCATCTTCAATTGACCTATAATAATATTTTTTGTAACAGTTGTATGTAATTCGGTCAGATAAATTATACCATATATTCTGCAATTATATATGAAGTTCATAGGAAAACTTATCGCCCTTACTTTAAAGATACAAACTGAACTAATAAACAATTTGTTGTGAAAATAAACATGTGTTATATGACAGCAAGAGCAATTTTGCAAGAAAAAAAAATACATAATATTGGACTTCATAAAAATTTTCCCTAAACCTCCAAATTTTTTTATACTTCGAAAATAAATTATTCTTGTACTACCATTGGTTTAACACATTTATTTTAAAACCATTTCGTTAAAAATCAATGTTTTTGAATTACGGTAACTTTTTTAACACGTAGGTAGTCACAAAAAATTGACAACTTTGTAAGGTAATGATTTTGTACCAAAAATAAATATTTTTTCGTTGCATTGTTAAACATTAAATTATCTAGATTCAAAAATATGTATGTATTTCTAAAAAATTTAAATGTTTGCCATTTTCTTGTACAAATTATGTAAATTTGGTCTAAGAAGGTTTTTGATAATTATTTGACTGACTGACGAAACCCAGGATGCACTGACAAAGAAACATGCTTATAATAGGAGCGATTAAAAAAGAATTGGTCAATGTGTGTGTGATACTTCTGGGTTACTATAATGAGAAAATATCGAAATCCTGCATATATGTTTGAGCATAGTAATTGAAATTATTATCGGGCATTGCCGACTCAAGGGACACCATAGTGAACTGGGGCTATTAGGATATAGGAGGTTGCCGAAACCTACATATTCACATTCTAACTGAATGTTTAGTACTACAGAATCCAAGAGCACTATATTTAGAAGCATATCAAATAGTAAAAAAACGATCAGTTCAGCTTGGAGCCACTCCAAATGCTTCATATTATTATGATTATGAATTATTACACTGGTCTACAGTGGTTTTGTTGCCCTAGATATGAAAATGATTTTGGGTCTATTTATGCACACAATTCATGAAACTATCAATGATTTTGTAAGATTTGCTCTCATTTTTTTTAAATCTTTATTTTCATTTTATATTACAAAAATAGAAAAACAAAATACAAATTAACAGATATATTTATAATGTTAGTTCTGTTGTGAGAAATTAGGATACATCGAAGTAAATAAAGAGGAAAATATCGGAAATATGTTTTATATTTCCATAAAACGCCTTTTATGAGCTGTTCTCTTATAATTTTTCAGTGGACAATCTCTTTTCAAAGACCAGCAGTAATCTGCCATCATGTGACAATCCCATCGACCCTGATACCTTTCCTCCATCACTTTTAGATCTTGGTGAAACCGCTCTCCCTGTTCCTCACTATAATTCCCTAAATTATCTGGAAATTTATCCAGATGATTGCGAAGATAGTGTAACTTAACACTCATATTTGCTCCTAAAGTCTGAAAGTTTGTCAGCATATCTTGCACAATTTCTTCATAATTTGTTGCTTTATGGTTACCTAAGAAATTTTCGACTACCAACACGTAACTTTTCCAAGCTTTACTTTCCGGAACAGTCATAACTTTGATAAAATCTGAGTCTTTTATTAATTGCCGTATTTGAGGACCATCAAATATTCCACCTTTCAATTTTTCCATACTAAGCTTCGGAAATTTTCTGCAAATATAATTAAAACAATCTCCATCCTTGTTTAGAGCTTTTACAAACTGCTTTATCATACCTAACTTAATATGCAATGGTGGAAGTATGATTTTGTCTCTGCTCACCAGTGGCTCCCTTATTACATTGGCTTTACCGACAGTTAAAGAATTTCTTACAGGCCAAACATCTTGTTCCCAGTGAAGTTGCTTCGCTCTACTGTCCCACATACAAATAAAGGGTATTTTGTGTATCCACTTTGTTGGCCTAGTAAAAAATTAACCATTTTTAAATCCACACAGATCGGCCATTCATGCTCCGAATATTTAATTTTCTCTAAAACTAATTTTACATTTTCATATTCTTCTTTAAGTTTCGTTGAATGGGCAATTAGAATTGATGCAAACTTATTTCCATTGTGCAATAAGACACATTTTAAACTTCTTTTACAACTGTCAATGAAAAGGCGCCATTCAGTCGATTTGTATTCCTTTAAACCCATGTCTAAAAGCAGATTCGCGATATCATTACAATACACCAATTCCTGATCGTCACTAAAAAACTGTAATAACTCTTTTTCTCGCGTTCTGTATGTTGTAATTGTTACGGTTGGTGCTAATAGATTTTTTCTTTCAATCTTGAAGCTAACAGTTCTGATCCTTGTTTTGATAAATTGAGATCACGTATTAAATCATTAAGTTCATTTAGAGAAAATAACTTTGACGTAGATGTTTCACCCTCCCATTCACTTCCACTGCTAGACGGTCCCGATTTCTGTGAATTTGGCAACATCATTGTTTCTGAGGGCATGCGAATTACTTTTGAAACGTAAATAGGCCGAGGGAGATTTTCACTGTGTGGAACCGGACATTTCGTAGACTGTAAGTCTGGGTATTTCCACTTTTGATTTCGATTGAAACCTTTAACATCTACTACACAAAAGTAACAATCATCAAAATGATTCGTAGGCTCCATCCAGATCATAGGAATACCAAAGTCTAATCCAGAACGTTCTCCTTTTTTCCACAACCGTAAAGACTCAACACAGCATTTACAAACTTTATTAGGAACCCATGGTTTACCTAATTTGTCCATTCCAAAACCGAAATATTCAACATAACTCTCCTTGACAAAGTCTGTGATATTTCGTTTTTGTTTTTTTGATATATAAACACCGCAAATATAACAAAATAAATCACTACAATATTTACACTTTCTCCGTGACGAACTCATATTTTAGAAGACAAGACGAATATATCAGAATGGACATATAGTAATTGAAACAAAATATTAATCCATGACAACTTAACCAGATTCACGTGTAAGTACTTCAATATTGTCATATAACTGAGATTTCAGCTGTTCTGTGGAGCAAGGCGTCTGAGAGGTGGGATCACGTGATGTTTGTATG